CCTGGTCTGGGCTGGCCCCCTGTAGCCTTTCGCATGTCACAGAACCACAGGATGGTTGAGGTTTGAAGGGTCTTCTGGAGGTCATCTGGTCCAACCCCCCTGCTCAAGCCAGTTGCCCAGGTGGCTTTTGAAAATCTCCAAGGATGTCCATGGAGCAGTCCTGGAGCAGTCTCAGCTCCCCAGGGAGAGAATTTGAAGAACATCTCAAAATAACTCCTCATAAAAAGTTTCCTTCTAAACACCACAAAAAAAATTTCTATATTTTGGGTTCTCTCTCCTTGCCAGCTTGCCACCTGAGGGACATAATTTCGTATAAAACCATCTTAAATCTTCTGCAACAATGAGTCCCTGCCCTGCTGCTGTGGTTTTAAAGCTACTTCCTGGGTTGATTCTGTTTCCAGAATCTTTATGAGGCTTTGAAATGTTTCCTTCAGTTTCCAGAGCTCTGCTATTTTCTCGCCATTCAGCCTCCTTTTATTGAGAAGTCAATGGAGCTGTGGGTGGAAGATGGAAAACTGTGAGAAATGTAGTCCAGGGATTAGGTGTGTGGGCTGTTCAGATGGAAACCATGTATCACATCATGAGAAATCTGTAAGACTTGGGGAGGCAGAAATTAGTACAGTATGCAGTGAGTTCATAAAAGTGGAAGTAACTGAGTGTCATCCGCTCTGCCAATGCAAGACTGGCATTGCTAGCAACCCAAATTTTCTGTCTACTCATAGAGCAGGTCTAATGCTGGAAAAAGGAGAGCAAGGCTCCCTCCTGTTGCATTGCTCACATGACTGTCCTGCCAGCTCAGGAAACAAGGTGTGAAAAACAGGGAATCTTCCTTCCCTCTGGCTGCGCCGAGCTTGCCATCTCAGATAGCAACAAGGACCGTTGCAGGTGGTACTTTGGTGATCTAACCCCAACACAGCCAGACCTGGGACAGAGGAGAGGACAGAAAGCATGCAGCACAGCTGGGAGCAAACTCACAGCTATTTGTTCTTTATGTTTAGGTCCAAGAGCTTTTTTCCACCCATGGTACAACCCTTCTGTGTGCTTCTGCACGTGTCTTGAGAAGCTTGCATGCTTTCAGCTCTAACTCCACATTGGTGGTACCAGCACAGGTTTGGAGGTGCTTTTTCAGTGGGATCTTGGAGGTGGAGATGACAATTATGGCACAGAGGGCGTTCTGAATCACTGCAAAGCAAATAATTTGCTGGGTTCATGCAAATATTAAAAAAATATCCTCTAGGTGTTGTTTCCTTGAAATAAATGAGGATACTGGTGAGAGAAACATGCACCAAAATACAGCATCAGATATCCCTAAACCCAGGAAAATCACAACTTTAACACACAACTGCTACTATAATATCCCTTGGCAATTTAAAGGTGAAGAAACATGTAACACCTTTCTGTTCTGCTTTGAATAGCATGTACCTGAAATTTGGAGGCTGGATTTTGAGACTTCAAATATTTCTTGAATTTCTATACACTGAATTTTGTATCATGATACCAAGGCATTGTAGGGACAGTGCAAATATGATAACATTTAGGCTGAAGGGTAGGATGTCTCATGCTTTCGTAATAACATTATTACATTTCCAATCATGTATAAAGTGGGCAGGTGTATTTAAAGTAAAAAATAGGTGACATAAAAAATATTGTAGGTGGATTTCTCTTTCTTTCATGACCAAAATTACATTGTTCAATACTTTAGGTGAGCTTAAGGAAGATCTAGCTGCAATGATTGTTACAAGAACTTGGAAATGAAACAGACTTTCCCCCAACACAGTCAGGATGCATTTTCCCTTCTGTTCTCTTGTGCATAACCTGTATGCTGTAAGCTAAGCAGTAATCATACCCTCTCCTCATCTTTGCTTTTTCATCAGTGGGTCAGCCTGAAGCATGACAAACTACAGTGATTGCTGGGGAGCCTTCAGTATTCTCTTTCCTCCTTCACCTGTCCTCTAAACAGAGAGACTATAGCAAGATCTATTTCTTCTTTGCATGCAGCCTCTTGTGAGCTTGGAGCTGGCTCAGAGTCTTGCAAATTAAATGTCTTCTTGTTGGCATATTCTGTTTCATTAGTTGGCAGCAGCAGGACTGTTTTTTAAGCCTTAATCATAGCTAAAATTGATGGGCTTTTACTCTTAGGCAGCTTAAAGCTGGCTAAAATAGATTACCAAGCAGAGAATGCTATTCAAAAATCTGATCACTGTTTTACTGACCAGATCTGCTTAAACTCCAGACTTTTCTGTCTCACTATTACAGCTGAAAAGAGGCATGCTATCGCTCTCAGATTTAAACATGCAACCAAATTCTGATTTGGAGAATTTCAGATTTAAAAGATACCCAAGCCTGAACTTTGATGGCTGACCCTATTCTGCAATTGGCAGGACCCAAACTCTTTTCTGAATACCCAGGCTCTGTGATCCAGACTCCAGAATATGAATACCCCAGGTCTACTCATTAGACCAGAATGTACCTGTCCACTTGGACTTAGAAAAAATGTTGTGTTTTATTAACTGACCATCAGTTAAATAGCACACAGTGAAAAAGAAAGTCTCCTAATTTCTTTGGAAGGACACTGATTTACATGACATTTTCCAGAAGACAGAAGAGCAAGCCATATAGAGGGCATCACTGTGCTTAAAAGACATTGATCTACATGTGCACAAACAGCTTCTGATAAATCTCTTAGCATATCCTCCCTTCATCTCACTTGTAACTGTTGGCTCAAAACTTCTTTCTAGCGGTCTGTGCTTCAGATTCACACCAAAAATGTCAGGATGGTGCTTTTAAGGAACAGATTGGGTGAGACATGTCTAGGAAGCATGGACAAATTTCTTCAAAGCTTAGGTGCCCACTTTTTTCCCATGCCTCTGCTTCCATCTTCAGGTTTTTTTGGGGTTTGGTTTTTTTTTTTCCTCGCACTTCTTTTATAGATGCCTCCTTGCTCTGTTCCCATCTTGATTTTACTTCAGCTCATCTTTCCTTTTTGTCTTGTCCCCTATACCCAAATGAGCCTTTTTCCTCTTTCAAGTCTAAAGGTCTCAGGTTCTCATCAGGCAACTCATCAGGTTGCACCTCTTCCCTGAACCTTTCAGTAAGAACCAACCAGCCTGCTGAACTCCTGGTGCCTTGCTGAAGTGCTCTTGTGGTTCATGAGGCTGACGCAAATTGTGCAATTGCTACCTTGTCTGAGCAACCTGCTTCTGTTTACTGTGTCAGTTCCAGCATTAATGTAACACATTTCTTAAAGGTGGCATGTCCCCCCCCGATCACACAAGAGCCCCAAACTCTCTGAAATTCTTTCAAATTGAAGAAGGAAGAAAAAAAAGTCACAGGAGCCTCCAGTGCTTTTTCTCAATGCTTTCAATCACTTTTAACGACAGGTCTCAGTACAAAAGGATGTACTGAGACAAGGATGATACACCAGTCTTCCCTCAGGATGCCGTTGTCCTAGATGCAGCGCTGTATGTGGTGTTTGCAGGAATTTGCTGCGTGCAGGGCTGTGGGATTTTACCTTCATGTGATAAATGCAGCAGAGACAGGCGTGTGAAAAATCCTGATGGATGAGCACTGATCATTCTTCAGATTATACTGCTCTCTGGTGGGACATACGCAGAAAAACAGTCACTGGAAATGAATAGCAATGATCTGATCTGACTGCTGACTTGCCTGCCTTACCTCCTCTGGAGCCACAGTAATTAGTGCTGGAAAAGGTAATTTGTTTAATCTAGGTCCCCATAGGGACATTACCTGGAGGAGGGAGACCATCCTGGGCTTCACTCTCAAACCTGAGGTGGAAGAGAAAGTGCCTTGCACTCCAAAGCCACGTCTCCTGTTTGTGAGTTTGCTGGAGAACAGAGCAAGACTCCTGCATCCAGCCCTTCCTCACACTATCGAGGTGATCGTCTTTCAATGCAGAGGATGGAGGGGTTATCTCAAAAGACCTGCATTGCCCTTGAAAGTTTAAATACTCACCTTGAAGATTCTTGTAAGCATTTCTGGGAGGCAATGGTCTAATTTATACAAGTAAACAGTCTTTGCCTGCAGGTGTACAATGCAGTGGGTATCTGCTGTCTAGCTTTGCTTTTATCGTACAAGGCAAAAATGAGGAAAATCAGGATTTGTTGTATGAGAATTTGTTAAGCCAATCTTTCGTACTCCTGACAATATAGAAAATAAAACTGGCATCTTTCTAGCCATCCAGAGTGCTTTCACTGGTACTTCAAAGTGCCTGTGAAGCAGATTGAGTGGGTGCTGACTCTCGCCTTCCTGCAGTGTGTCAAGACATCAGCAGTGGAGGATGTGAGGGCTGGAGCTTTTGAGGCACCACAAAGGGGAGACTTAGTCAAAGCAGGACACTGTGCAAAGGCAGTTCCCCTGCTGCTGCCTCTTGCAAAAACAGCCTGTTAAGAGCTCACAGCACTATGAGGGAGACAGAGCCAAAACTTTGTTGATGAACAATTTGTGAACAAGGAGTTCATAACAAGAAATGCAGTTTCTGTGCGGTCTCAGATAAGGGTATCCATTCTTTTGGATCAGTACAAACACAACAAGCACATTCACTGTCGTGCAACTGAATTAATTACAAAGGTTTTTTTCTTCAGAAGCTTGTTCATTTTGTAATGCAGCCTTTTTACAGGAGGTGGAGGAGAATTTGATTCTCTGCTGCTTGCATTTTATGTGATGACTTATGCAGCAAAATTAACATGAAGTGAGCATTACACCACATGACTGCACTGAGTGAGAAGGTGGTACAGGAACAATGGGCTGAAAATTTGTCAAATTAATAAGGATCCCTCAAGTAAAATGCTGAAGGTCCTACATAACCCAGTTGTTTGTGAAAACAGCATTCACCTTTCTGATTTGGAGTTGCTCTATGGTGCCTGTTGTTTCAGTAGTCAACAATATTGTTAGGTGGCTTAGCTCCTTGCATAAATTATTCTGTCCTGGTATGGATATCTGCATACAGTTTCACGTATGAAAATCTTCAAAATTTACAGATCTTTTGCTGGTATTAAGAGACCTGAAATGAAAGTATCCCTGGAACCCAATGTGAACTATTTCTTCTACTTGAGGGCTGTCAACCCATTTGGGACAAGTGAACAAAGTGAAGCAGCTCTCATCTCAACTAAAGGTAGATCACCATTTTCTGATGTCAAAACAATGGGTGGAGGGGCAAAGAGGCCAAAGATGGTATTTTGTTCTGGAAGTCATAACTGAAATTTCTGATATGGGAGTAAGCAAGTTATTGAGATGAAGGGGATTGTATTTTATCTGCTTAAAATTAGTACAATCAAGGACTACTTCTCTTGAAGTTGGTAGATGTATGTCAATGTAAAACTGATGTGACCTCAACAGCAAAAACATTTGATTCTGTCAGAGATATGAAATGATTAAATATTCTTCAGGGATCTCAGTTTGCTTGAGTTTGGCAGAGCACATTCTGTTAAAAGATGCCATGATCTTTAAAAACCCCTGCAATTAAAACCATATGGACTTTGAGTTTCAGGGATGAGGAAGTATGCAGAGCAGCTTTAAAATGTAATGGATGATTTAAACTTCAAGGTTTACAGATAAATAGTGTTAAATCATGTATGGTTCTTCCAGACCAGCCTCAAAATTCAAATTTGCTATTTTGAAAAACCACTTGATTGGAAAGTATTCAACCTTCTTGAATACCAAAGATTTCGTTATATTTCTGAATAATAGAGTGCCATCCCAATCAGGCACAGCCTGGGAGAGTCCTTGCAATTGCACCCAATTTTCTGCTGTTCCTACCTACCAGCAGACACAACTCTGTCCAGCTAAGATGGCAGTAATTGTTGCTTAACATTTTATGATTCATCTTAATGCTGCATTAATGCTGCCAGCCTCTCAGAACTGGTGTTTCTTTGTCATGAATTGTACCAGGGACTCGATTTCGCCTGCTGAGTGACACAGCCCATCCTGCTTTGCAAATCTCCTCCAATGCAACGGTGATCTGCCTTCCTGAGAAAGCCAAATTCACTGGGTGAGTAGCAGTAAGACGAGCATGACCACCCTGTGGGGTTCAGCATGGGTTCCTCACTCTTATTTTTACCTATAGGTAGCTTTCACATGGCACTAACTAATTTTGTAGAAAAACTGAATCTTTTCAGTCACGTAGCCCCTGAACATTGTGTGATTGACACCCCCACCCCCCTTCAAACACTGCAATATCTCAATAAAGCCAGTAGCAGCATTGATATAGGTGCTGGGAAGGGTTCAGTGTCACACTGAGGACCTTCCAGAAAGTCAAAGGCAGTGGTACCTACTGGGACTGCTGGGTTTGCCTCAGTCCATGGTCACTGCTTAATCCTTCAGAGCACTTCAGTCTCAAAACAACTTGTTGCTGCCCCAAAAAGGCAAGATTTGTGGGCTTACGTTTGAAAACCCTGTGAATAGAAGTAATCCATCGTTTTACTTCACTCCTGTACTAAGGGCATTATTGGTAACGTTTTCCAAAGCATCTGTGGCTCTGGAGAACTAGGAAATGCTCTTGGGATATGTTAGAATGGTTGTAGCCAACTAGCTCCATCCATTGCAAATGTGATTTATTTTTTTTGACATACTGATATCAGTCCCATCACAAGCACAGGTCCACTTGTATAAGTTATGCCATGCTGATATGACTTCTTAAAAGGTAATTATGTATTTCTGGTTTAAGCAATTTTTTTTTTACTGTTACAGCTGAATGCACACAAGATGTTTGTCACTGTGTCTACTTGAAACAGCCATGCTTTCTAGTTTGAAAAATCCTGCTAAATATGAAGTGGTTTTTGCCTCCAAAGTCACCTTTTCCACCTTTTGTTGCCTTCATATACTTTTTGGTAAAGTTGCATAGTTTTCAGTCCTCAAGATGAGTCCATATCAGTGCAAAGATGAAATGACTCTCAGTAATGAAATTCAAATGTTTGATAAAACCCTGTCCTGGTTTCAGCAGGGACAGAGTTAATTTTCTTTCTGACAGCTGGAGTAGTGCTGTGTTTTGGATTTAGGATGAAAACAATGTTGATAACACACTGATGTTTTTAGTTGTTGCTATGTAGTCGAGGACTTTTCTTCTTCTCGTACTGCCGAGAAGGCGGGGGGAGCGCAAGAAGCTGGGAGGGGACACGGCCAGGACAGCTGACCCCAACTGGCCAAAGGGGTATTCCATACCATACGATGTCATGTCCCGTTTGCAGCTGGGGGTCTTGTGCAGCATCTGAGGGTCTTGCACAGCAGCTGGGGATTTTATGCAGCATCAACCTTGGTGTGATGGCATTTGTCTTTCCAAGTCACCCTTACACGTGACAGAGCCCTGCTTTCCTGGAGATGGCTGAACACCTGCCTGCCCATGGGCAGTGGTGAATGAACTCCTTGTCTTGCTTTTCTTCTGTGTTGTGGGCTGGGAGGCTGGGCAGCTGTGTGCCTTGTGTGGTATTGACTTCAGGTGATAAGAAATTGTGCTGTTCATCACTCGTTTTGTATTTTTATTATTATTATTATTATTTTCCTTCTTTATGTTTGTCCTATTAAACTGTGTTTATTTCAACCCACGAGTTTTCTCACTTTCACTCTTCTGATTCTCTCACCCATCCCGCTGCTGGGGAGGAGTGAGCGAGTGGCTGCGTAGGGCTTAGTTGCCAGCCAGGGCTAACCCACAGCAAACCCTGCAGTTAGAAGAACAGAGTGCAACCCGTTAGTAATTTTAGATGCAGCTGCATGACATGACTGTAAGAAATAGCACATTATGCTTGGTCTACCACCACACTCACTTTACTGTACACCTCTTCCACAAACAGGTTTCCTTCAGTCCTGGGTGAGCTGCTGCCTGCTCGAGGATGTCATTACTGGGAAACCATTGTCTCTGCCTGCAGAAGCTACAGGATTGGGATTGTCTACGAGGCAACATCACGGAGCAGTGTCCTGGGGCTGAGTGATACCTCCTGGTGCATGCGGTGCTGTCCTACACAAACCAGGTAAAGCTGAGTCAGCCTAGCTGCTTGGGAGGTCACTTGTACTTCTTGTAAATAAAGCTGGCCAGCTTCAAGAATCATGAGAGCAGAAAGGATCTGTCTGCTTGCTTTCTGCAAATTTGAGTAATAAGAAAAGGGCAACTGCAAGGGAACTTTAGACCTCTTCTTAATTAAAAAATCTTATAAAGCATCTTGACAAATAAAACTAATCTCAAACAGACCAATTTACTGCCCTTCATCCAGCCAGTGAATAAAACTTAAAAAACTCATTTGCAACTGCTTTGTCATTCCAGGCTCATATCCTGAACTGCTTCACAAAAACCCAGCAAATTTATTTATTTCCATAAATGCAGTCTTTTTAGAGTCTATATCCATTTGCAGGAGATGTCAAGCCTCCCTAGGGAATGCCTTCTCATGCCTTGTTCTCCACAGCAACAGGCACCCACCTG